TTCCTCAGCTGGGGGACCCAGAGCTCCTGTCCCTGAGCCCGGGTCTGTGTGTGCTGCTACGGGCCACAGCCTCCCCCTTCCTCAGCTGGGGGACCCAGAGCTCCCGTCCCTGAGCCCGGGTCTGTGTGCTGCTGCGGGCCATAGTCTCGCTCCTGCTCTCAGCTGCGCTCTCATCCTCTGCAGGTGACTGGGCTGGTCCACAAGTGGGCATGGACCAAAGACGACGTGATCCTCCACGTGCTCCCGCTGCACCACGTCCATGGTGTGGTCAATGCGCTGCTCTGCCCACTCTGGGTGGGCGCCACCTGCGTGATGATGCCCGAGTTCAGTGCTCAGCAGGTGAGTCGGGTCACGGCCCCTGGCAGCGCCCTCAGAGCAGGTTCCTTTCCTGGTGTGCAGTCGTCCGTACCCACAGGGCACGTGCTGCAAGACCACAGATGCCAGGACCTTGGGAAGCATGGAACCCTGTGCCTACAAGGCTTTTTGCTACACATGCGTACCTGTGATAAAGCTTCGTTTATAAGTTAGACACAGTAAAAGATTAATAGTTAAAAACAGAAGTTATAACCAGGTACTGTAGTAAAAGTTATGTGGAAGCGCTCTATCTCTTCAGAATACCCTCCAGTACTGTGCTCGCCTGTTTTCAGACTGCAGTGGGCCTCACGTCGCTGAAGCGTGAACAGTGAGACTGGGTGAGCCGGGCAACTGCAGGCGCTGCTGGCGTGAGCTCCTGGGCTGCCGAGGATGCTCACACACCAGGTTTAACACAGTGCGAGTTTGTTCTTCCATGCTTGGAAGCCAGGAGTCTGAGCTGAGTCTTGCAGAGCTGAGGCTGCGTGTGGTGGGGCTGGTCTATCAGGAGGCCAGCTCTGCTTTTGGAGGCACATGGCCTTCTCTCCGTGGCGAGCGCTCCCTTGTCTTCCCTTTGCACGGTCTGTGTGGATATTCCAAGATAATCTCCAGTCGTGAGGTCCTTCGCTTCACCTACCTGCGGTTCCTGCCACTTTGTGAGGTGACGCCTTGGAGATCCAGGGCGCATGGTGTGGCCTCTTGAGCTGTGATGTGGCCATTGTGGCAGCTTTTGGTTACTCCGGAGTACTGGCCCAACCGGAGGGCGGCCGCAGAGCCTCCGTGCCTCCCCCCGCATCGCCACCTCTGTAGGTCTTCCTCGACGCAGGCAGAGAGGGGAGGACATGGCGCTGGGCACGCAGAGCACTGGGGTAGGAGCGGCCATCCCCGAGCTGCAGCATACAGCCTTGCCTGTGCTGGCCCTGTGTCCGGGGCAGGTCAGGGATGCTGCTTTGGAGGGAAACGACCCGGGCTTGAGGCGGGACTCTGCAGCGTCAAGCCTCTCCTGTCAGTTGGGGATGGCGGTGGCTTTTAGGAGCTGCTGTGACTTGCAAGCATTTCAGGGAAGGCGGTGGCTTTTAGGGGCTGCTGTGACCTGCATGCATTTCAGGGAAGGCGGTGGCTTTTAGGGGCTGCTGTGACCTGCAGGCATTTCAGGGAAGGCGGTGGCTTTTAGGGGCTGCTGTGACCTGCATGCATTTCAGGGAAGGCGGTGGCTTTTAGGAGCTGCTGTGGCCCGTGTGCCTTTCAGCTGACTGCATGTGAGAGCCACTCACCAGGCTGCAGAGGGCACGGGGGGCTGGCCTTGAGCCCTCAGGAAGGATAGGATGGATGCATGTCACAGGTGTGGTGAAGCAGAGACCTCAGGTGAGGCCGTGGATGCTTACTGACGTCCACCCTTAAAATATGCCTTTTATTCACAGGAAAATGCCTTTTATTCACAGGAAAAAAAAGTCTAAAAAGTGAATGTGGAAAAAACCCTTAGGTTTGGATCAGGTTGTGATCTTTCTCATCAGAGTGCTATTCTCCTGAGCGGAGGAGCCCACCTCTGAGGCCAGGTGCCCGGGGCTGGGCTCCGGTTTCATGCCGGGCTGTCCCGCAGGGCAGACGTCCTAGTCAGAGGAGGCACAACAGCCAGCAGTGGCCGGCCCCACACTCACGCTCTCACCGAGGACTCTTCCTGTCTGAAGTTTTTCTGGCCCCCTCGAGGGCTGTGTGGAGCTGTGTGGCCTTTGACTAGGAGCTCAGGACTCAAACCCTACTCAGGTGTGACTTTCTCCGCAAAGGGGTGGTTCAAGTGGACGCTTCCTGTTCTGCTGCTCTCACGTGTAGCCCCGCCCACCTCGCCTCTGCTGTTGCAGCTGAGAGGCTGGTCCTCTCCACCGCCAGGCGCCCGGCCTCACACGGTGGCTGGAGGTGGAGAGCAGGCAGCCCATCTGGCCCTCCACCTCTCTGACCTTCAGCTTCATCGTTGGAAAACAAGGGGCCCTGGCCGCATGAGCCTGAGGGGTGTGTAGGAGGGCCTGTCCTGGCTCCCCCTGCGGGAATATGGCTGAGTGGCCCGACCCTCCTTGTGGCTGTCTCCTTTGGTGAGCGCCCGGCATGGACACAGATGTCCTGGGTGAGCGTCTTCTGAGTCAAAGTGGTTTTCTTGTAGTGAGTTCCCTGGGCGTGCGCTGTGGGTGGCTCAGCGCCTGCTGTGCAGGGACCTTTGATGCCTTTGCTGTGTCTCTGGTGGCCTTGGCGTCTGTGCCTGTGACTGGGCCCCTCAGCTTGCCCCGCCTTGGCCCCTGCTCCTTGGCAGCCTGGTCTTGAGCCGCCTGGACGCTGACAGTGGCTGGTCTGCCATGGTCACTTGGACACAGGCAGTGATGGCCTTTGTCATAGACATGCCAGGACGTGTGCAGCTGGCAGGGGCAAAGGCAGAGGTCCCCCAGGGCAGGTTGGTTCTGTCCTCCAGAGTAAAGAATGTGTCACCCTCAGGGCGAGAGGCAGGGGGGTGCAAGTGCTGGTGCAGGCCGGCTATCAGATCCAGATTTCCTCCGCTGGCTGCTTCTCCAGCGCCGTGTGAATGGCAGCACCTGGCCTTCCCAGTGCCCGTAAGCACACGGCTGGGGAGCTGCTGCTCTGGCATCTCTGTTCAGGGGCATCTGCCATGGGGGTCCCTGTCCTTAGGTCTGTGCTCAGGAATGTCTGCCATGGGCTCTCTGCCTGGGGGTCTTTGCTCAGGAGTGTCTGCCCTGGGGTCTCTGCCCAGGAGTATTTGCCCTGGGCTCTCTGCTGGGGGTCATTGCCTGGGAGTGTCTGCCTTGGGCTCTCTGCCAGGGAGTATTTACCCTGGGGTCTCTGCCCTGGGCTCTCTGCTGGGGGTCTCTGCTTGGGAGTGTCTGCCCTGGGCTCTCTGCTGGGGGTCTGCTGTCATCTTCCTGACACTGCAGACTGGCTGGTTAGTAGACACAGGGGAAAGTATCAGACCTTCACTGTTATTGACAGTTACTTGGGATTTTCTCTAAACTCTGCCCTGAAAACTTAATATTTAAACAAATTTGATGCTGTGGCTACAAGAGATTACAACTCTTTTACGAACTTCGAGTTTCAGAGTTTTTCAGCTTTAGAAATTTATATTTGCACAATCTAGCTGTCAGCATGATTGAATGTTGGGGTTTTGTCTAAGACTGTCTTTAAGAATGTGTATGGTAAAAGCATGGAACGAGCAGAAACCTGCGGTGGGTTTGTGGGTTTCAGGATCTCAGGCACAGTATCTTCATGTCATCCTGCTGCACAGGTGGGGGGTGTCAGCATCTGCAGGTGACAGATGGGGCTGGGGGACAGGAAGATGGTGGGTGTCAGTGTCTGCAGCTGACGGATGGGGTTGGGGGACACAGAGAATGGTGGGTGTCAGTGTCCGCAGGTGATGGATGGGGCTGGGGGACAGGAAGACAGCAGGTGTCAGTGTCTGCAGGTGACGGATGGACAGGAGGATAGCAAGTGTCAGTGTCTGCAGCTGACGGATGGGGTTGGGGGACACAGAGAATGGTGGGTGTCAGTGTCTGCAGGTGACGGATGGGGTTGGGGGACAGGAGGAGGACACTGGAAGATGAATGTGCAGCCACAGCCTCTGGAGCTCAGAGTCGCCGCTGATGAGGCAGCAGAGGCTCCCATCAGCCTCTTGTCTCTGACAAGAGTCCTCAGGATGGCAGTGTGCACTTGGGAGAGCAGAGGAGAGAATCAGGGCGGGGCGGCTGGGAGTGCCCTGTGTGGGAACTGCCGTCTGGCAGGGTCTGTGCTATGGCAGCTCAGGTTAGAGCAACAGGCATGCTCTTGCCACCTCGGAAGCACTTGGTGGTAGTCAAGTGTTCTGGCGCCCTTTGGGGGCTCCAGGCCTTACAGTGCTGCTGGGAAGTGTGGCAGCGCGTTGAGATGTGCTGGAGGAAGGAGGTCATGCTCAGCTCTCAGTGCCCTTCTCTAGGGCCGCAGCTGCTTGCCGAAGATTTGGGTGAATTCCAGGAAAGGCATTCCTTCCGGGCCTGTCACCTCTGCGGGCTCCCCACCCTCAGCCTAGTCCCGCTGCACATGTGCTCTTGCCCCTCAGCCTTGTCGTGCTGCGCATGTGCTCTTGCCCTCAGCCTTGTCCACCTACGCACGTGCTCTCTGCCCTTCAGCGCCGTCCCACCACACGTGTTCTGTGCTTCAGTGTTGCTTGTGCTTCTGGTTCACTGCACTGTTTTATAGTTTTTCTGAGTGCTGTATCATATGGGTTTGTTCTTCTAGCATTGCTGTGTTGTATTTTGTAATATGCAGGTGCCACAGTGTGCTCTTCCCTTCCCCTGTTGAAAGACTTCGGACTGTTTTCAGTTTGTGGCTATTAGAAAGAACAGTTGCTGTGAACATTCTCATGTAGGTATCATCATAGATGCTGTTTGGATCCATGTATCCTGGTGCCAGCTTACAGGCTAGGCATGGATTTCATTTTTGTTGAAACTGCCAAAGTTCCCAAACATGGTTGCATATTTCATATGCCCACCAGTCCCATTCTGCTGGTACCAGTTTACTGTATGAGTCCGTGTGACGCTGCTGATAGAGAAGACTGGCAAGAAAAAGAGCTCTAATTGGCCTCACAGTTCCTCATGGCTGGGGAGGCCTCAGAATCATGGCGGGAGGTGAAAGGCACTTCTTACATGGCAGAGGCAAGAGAAAATGAGGAAGAAGCAAAAGTGGAAACCCCTGATTCAGTTTCATGAGAATAGCAGGGGAAAGACCGACCCCCATCATGCAATTATCTCCTCCCCGTGTTCTCCCACAACACGTGGTCATTCTGGGAGATACAGTTCAAGTTGAGATTTGGGTGGGGACACAGACACACCATATCAGGAGACCTTACACTTTTCTTAATTCCCCACATGTCTCCTCTCTGCCGGCTTCATCTGCTCCTGCAGAAGTTCCCCGAGGAGGCACAGTGCTGCTCCTCGTTATTTTCCTTCAGCCTGGAG